TTTTATTTCATGTTAAGTTGCAGAGCTGCTATTAGGATTCTGCAGAGGCATTGGAATCTAAGACTGTGACAATCTGGGCTTTATCTCTGAGAAATGACTGAAAAAAAAAAAAAAGGTGTCCTTGTGATTTGCCCAACTCCATCATTGATCATTCTTCATTCATGTCCTACCCCCACTGCCTTCTCCTCATCTCCCTTTGCCTCAAAGAAAACTAACAGAGCCATATAGAAAGCTCTGAGATATAAGTGCCCTTGTGCACCTTTAATTGAGGACAGAATTTGCTGAAGTGCATCCCAAAATCCACCAGTGGTTTACTTTACAGTCTGTGTCCTGGCTAGACTGGCTGTTGGCTGTATAATTTGTCTAGTTTTGTCTGGAGTCTTAGACTATTCAGCTGCTTCAGGGCAAAATCTTTTGGGGTGTCATTAAATGAGATTGATAATTGGCTTCTGATGAATATTCATTGTGACTAATGACTTTGGGCAAATTTTACACATACTATCTTTCCATTCTCCCACTGAGTGAGATTTTGATAGGATCATTTTCTTCAACTTGCACTTCAATTATATATTCACAATACCCCTTTGTTGACTACACACCAAATTACATACTTTCATTACTTTTAAAGTTTGTATTCTGTAAGGAATGAACATAGGCCTTTAGGACTTTTATTTTTAGAAACAGGGTTTAGAATTATTTTAAAAATAAGCGGCAAGCAATACTTTACAGAACAGAGTGCGTTATTTCCGATTGAGTATAGATATATAGTAAGACTTTTCTTGTAATCAACTGACTGTCCTTAAGTAATGATGCATATAGTTTATGTCATTTAGTATTTTGGAAAAGAGCCATGTAATTCCCTGTTTTGTTTGTTTCTTAATCAAATGAGTAATGCATTTTACCCCAATTGCAGAGATTTGGCCCTTAGAAAACCCACTAATGAAATGATCAAACACCTTAAAAGTTTGATTTTTTTTTTTTTTTTTAAGAAGGATAAGTAATTTTAAAATCTTGGCATTGAGGTTGGTAGGTTTGCTTTTGAGGTTAAAAAGACATGAAAAGAACATTATCTGAAGATGAGATCTCTGCGACTTTATCAGTTGAAACAGGCTTTTGACCCAAACCAGTTTAACCTAAAAAGAGTCACATAATCAAGTTCTGGCGGAACCAGGTTCATTCTATTAAATGACTTTTTCAAAGAGAATCACAAATTAATTCATATGATGATGTTACCTTCATTTGTATGGGAGTTCATAGATTTTGAAGTACTTTTATTTATTTATTTATATGTTGTGAAGTTAGAAAGTAGGCACATGATTGAATGGGCGAATGGATGAATGAATGACTTGGTTTTCCAAAAGTGCCATGCTTGTGTTTCTGAGCTTGCTGTTTTTGTTTTAGACATTTTTTTCTGTCTGTCTTTTTTGGGGGACAGAGTCTCGCTCTGTTGCCCAGGCTGGAGTGTAGTGGTGCGATCTCAACTCACTGGCAACCCCCACCTCCTGGGTTCAAGCAATTCTCCTGCCTCAGCCTCCCGAGTAGCTGGGACTATAGGCATGTGCCACCATGCCTGGCTATTTTTCTGTATTTTTAGTAGAGACGGGGTTTCGCCATGTTGACCAGGCTGGTCTTGAACTCCTGGCCTCAAGTGATCTGCCCACCTCAGCCTCCCAAAGAGCTGGCATCACAGGCGTGAGCCACCGCGCCCAGCCTGTTTTAGACTTTGAGTCATGTACCTTATTCTGTGAGACTCACGGGAATGTTGGTATGCTACTGATAAAAGCCAAGCTACTAAACTGTCTTTGTATTGTGAGTATATTCTAAGAAAAAATAATATTTTCTTTATTCAGGACACATCCTATTAACTAGTGCATGTGTGTGTGTTGTGTATTCTGGGCCACTGAGAACATGGAGGTGAAGACAGGATCTTCCTGTACTTTACAGTCAGGAGACAAACATGCAGCCAGTTATGGTCCAGTTAATAATGGGTGCCTGTGGGTTGGATGCAGTGGCTCATGCCTGTAATCCCAAGATTTTGGGAGGCCAAGGTGGGTGGGTCACTTGAGGTCAGGAGTTTGAGACCAGCCTGGCCAACATGATGAAACCCTGTCTTTACAAAATAAACAAAAATTAGCCAGGCGTGGTGGCACACACCTGTAGTCGCAGCTACTCAAAAGGCTGAGGCAGGAGAATTGCTTGAACCGGGAGGCGGAGCAATCGGTTTCAGCTTGAGCTGAAATCGCGCCACTGCACTCCAGCCTGGGTGACAGAGTGAGACGCTGTCTTAATAATAATAATAATAATAACAACAATAATAATAATAATAATCGGTGCCTATTCACAAGGAGCCAGGGAAGACTTTGAAGAGGAAGTACTTACACAGAGACCTGAGGTAGGAGTTTGCTAGAGGCACAAATCCAGGCCAGTTTGGGGGATGGGTGGAAAGGGAGGGGAGGAAAAGGAGTACCTGACTCTATCTAAGTGATGTATTCCGAGGACAGACTTGGAGAAGACAGTACAGAGTGTGGCTACAGATGGCTGCTGTAAAGCTAGACTGTGGGCTGGTGGAGCCATCCGGGGCTAGGCATGCCCCCAAAGACTTCCGAGTAGGAAGTGATGGGCCGGAACCTGCACTTGAGGAGGAGCTCTCTGGCAGCTAGTTAAAGATGTGCAGAAAGAGCTGAGACCCGAGGCCAGTGGAACCCTCCAGGCTGACTTCAGGGTGGAATCAGGTCAGAGTTGGTTCATTCTCCACTCACTCAACACCAGCAAGGAGTTTTTATCTCTAAGAAGCCCTGAAGGGATTAGTTGTGTGTGTGTGTGTGTGTGTGTGTGTGTGTGTGTGTGTGTGTGTATATATGTAAAATATAGAATATACTTATATATGAAATATATAAATATATATAATATATATATAAAACTAATGATATGATATATATAAAATTAATGTTTTGATATTATATATATATGTGTGTATATATATCAGCCTCCTTTATATGGGTACCTATGGAAATAGAATGTGAAGGGATGGGTTAAACCTGCCAGCCTTGACGGGGTCACTGGGAACAGTTCTTGGGTGCCTGCTGAATGAGATCCGGTTCATGGCATGGACCTGGCTTCAAGAACGGGGTCTGGAGGAAAGAGTCAGGGCAGGCGGGGGTGGGAGTGGCAGCCCTGGCTTTAACACACAGTTCTCACAACTGGGAAACATCAGCAGAATACCCAATTTAAAGCTGTTCATGTTACACTAACCTCTGGGATGCTTTTAACTGGGCCTTGGCACGTCACTCTTTTGCCACGTAAATGTCCTTCTGTCAGCAAAGGCCAGTTAACAGCTTCCAAAAGAAGCAAAGTCCTCATGGGAACAGGCTTCCCTGAAACCAAAGAAACATTAAAGAAAAAAAGACAGAAAGAAACATGTGTTGTTGGCTTTGTCACTTCATAGCTGTATCTCCAAAGGTTGCTTTTTTTCCCTTTCTTTTCACTATATTGAATTTTGTAGCAATTGTATCCCTTTATATTATCTTTGTTTCCTAAATTTTTAATTGCATAAAATACTGATTATATGATGTCTCTAGCTCTTAAGAAAAAAAAAATACAAAATACGGGTAAGTCAAAAGACTGTGGAGAGGAAGGATTAGTCAGTAAACAGTGCCATAGCAATTGATTACCTATGTGGAAAAAATAAATTCTCACCTCAGTCCTTAAACCTAAAGTAATTCCAGATGGACTGAAGAGTTAAATGCTAAGGGAAAATTTAGAGGACTTTCTTGGGATAAAAGCGGTAGAAACCATCATGGAAGAAAATATTTGTCTATGTAATTATTTAGACCTTCTCTTTGCCCAGAAATTCAAAGAAAATTAAGTATAAATTATTTTCAAAACACTACAAAGGCTGGATATTCCTTGCGTATCATCAGTGATTGCTTATAAACCAGTAAAAATTACTAACACTCATTTTTAAAGTGGGCTAAGAATATGAATAGACCATTTGTCTATTACATAAGTACAGTCAAGAAACATATGACAAAATGTTCAACCTTAGTCCTGATCAGAATAAAAATAAGAGTAAAATAGATACAATTTTAAAGCTACTAACTTGACTACAAGGAGTAGTGCTGGTGAGGGGAAGGGAGGCCAGAATTGTGGTGGATGGCTGGGGCTGGGGATTGTAAAGAGAGTCTCCATCCTTCCTCTATTCATTATACTAACATATTTATGATATATGTATTTATTAAGTGCCTTGAAATATTTATAACCTTTGTCTCTGAATTCTGCATTTAGGAACTATAGATATAAATTATTGACCTGTATGATTATATTACTTAATGGTAGTAGAGTAGTTAAATATATTAATAGCATGGGAAATTCATCAAGTATCGTTAAAAGGTATTTTTTCTAAGAATATTTAAAGAATATTCTGGATTTTTTCTAAGAATATTTAAAGAATATTCTGGATTTTGGGAAATTCATCAAAAACAGCAGTTACGTTAAAAGGTATTTTTTCTAAGAATATTTAAAGAATATTCTGGATTTGTGCCTTTAAAGCATCATTAAGAGATACCTCTTTCTAAGAATATTTAAAGGAAAATGGCATCAAATAATGTTCACTTTTAAGAAACACAAAAGAATACTGTATTTATAGTATTTATAGAATACTGTATATATAGACTATAAATAGGAATATATGTGCTTGTGTGTGTAAGAACCTACAATGTTAAATCTTCCAATGGTGGTGGCATTTATTTTAATCCCTGTCTCCATTTTTAAAATTTTCTATTTCTTATATTAGCTTTATAATCAGAAAAAAAGATTTTTTGAAAAGAAAGCTCTTACTAAATTTGAATTAGGGTGATTGAATTAACTTAGAATGATTTCTCCAGGCTTTTCAACTTACCATGTAAACATGTTGAAGAATTATAGAATTGTATTGCTGAAATCAAATGGCGGTGTCTCCTCCCTTGGATTTGTTCATTGATCTCTGCTTTGCTCTGTTCCAGCTGACTGCCTGCATCCACGGGTCTGCGGCGATGCTCTACCCCATGTACTGGCAGCACGTGTACATCCCCGTGCTGCCGCCACATCTGCTGGACTACTGCTGGTAAGGTGGCTGGCCCTGTCCTCTGCTTCTCCTTTGCCCTGAACTGACTGGGCATGTTAGGTGTGTCACCTGTTAATGCAGTTGGTGGCTCTACATTAAAAATACTAACTTTATCCAGCCTGGACAAAGTAGTGAGAATCCATCTGTACAAAAAAAAAAAAAAAAAAAAGTCAGGCATTGTGGCACATACCTGTAGTCCCAGCTACTAAGGAGGCTGAGTTGGGAGGATCATTTGAGCCCGAGAGGTCGAGGCTATAGTGAGCTCTAATTGTGCCACTGCACTCCATCCTGGGCAACAGAGTGAGACTCTGTCTCAAAAATAATAATAATAATAAAAATACTAACTTCAAAGTGGCATGGATTTAAGACCACCTGATTGCATGGCCCTTTCATTTCCAGTTTTCTTATATGTCATGACAGAGTACAAGAGAGTGGGTAGTCATTTTTCCCATTTCTCAGTTTGGGGGAAACAGTGCACCAAGAGGTTGCGTGTTTGTTTGTTTGTTTGTTTGTTTTTTCCTAAAACAAATTGTAAACTGGGGACAGAAACAATTGAGATCTCCAAGGCCTTCAAGTTTCAGCCATGCCCTGGCACATTCCTTAAGACTCGTGCTCACTGTGGTTTGGGAGCACAAGCCAGACGGCACTAAACTGTCTGAAGTTCTTTGAGGAGAATTTCACCGTTCAGTGAAACAGACTTTAGTAGAAGGAAGAAACAAAGGTTTTGGTGACAGCCCTGCCATCTTGGGCAAGTCACTTGGCTTTAAGACTTTCTTTACTCATCTGTAAAAGGAAGTTGTTCAATACATAATCATAAAGATGAAACGAGATAACATATGAAAGGACCCCATGTAGAAAAGCTGGCTCATGGTGGGTGCTCAGAAAATGTTCCCACAGACATATCATTGTCCTCACTATCTGTCTTCAATAGATTACCAAAACAGACTGTCTTTGTGACCAATTTGGTTCCCTTTTCCTCATGAATAATTTCTTTCTCTAGTGTAATGCAGTTAAAGACATTGTCTCCAAACAGTTCAAGTCAACAGAAGTCCATAAGGGGGCATGGTACACAGAGAGGGAAAGGCACTAACTGCATGCCTCCTGCATGCCAGGAGAAGGGAACCCATTTGAGGGTCATAGCCCTGTTGCTTAAGGACAGATGACATAGGACACTGACCACTGGTTCAGAGTGATTGAGTCCAGGTCAGTCATACTTTTGCTGGGATCTCCAGCCCATTTTGCCGTCATCTCACTGGAAAGGTTCACTCAGGTAGCCAGATTGTCCAAGGAGCTTAAAGGCATTCCACAGTCACTCCTGATTGGAACGTGCTGGGCTCACCCTCTTCCCAAGAAGCCATGGAGATAACAAGAACATAACTCAGGGCCATGATGTGAAAATCAGTGGCCCTCTCTCGTGCATAGCAGTAAGTGAATGGGCCCGATTCTTTCTTTATGATGTGTCTTTCTTATCAAGGTAGTCATCTTATTCATGCCTTTCTCCCACCTCTTGTGAGATTAAGGGGCGATATGTTTTCTACCATGTGGAATATGGAATCCTGGCTAATTTTGAATTTCTTCTTGATTCATCGGTGGTTGAACCCCACATTTTTTCACTATGTCTCTTCATACTTTGCTTTATTTTGGAAACTATTTTCAGTTAATGATGACGTCCAGGTACTGCTGGTCTAGATTTTTGTGTTCATCCCTTCTTGAGTGGGTAGGAAATAAAGTAATGTTTGCAGATAGGAAAGAATAAGGATGTAAACCCCTTATAACAGATTCACCATGTGACACTAAATGTTTGCGTTTGCTGTGTTCCTCAGGGAGTGTTTTCAAACCCTGGAGCCCATCCCAGACCCCTCCCCTGTATCCAGGTCTCCAGCCTCTCTCCTTCCATTGGAGACTCTAGGGAATGCTGGACTCTGCCCTAGTGAGGCTGCTCCTTCTGCTCCCGGACTCCAGAGGGAAGATTGTTAGACGCCGCCATGGTCTGGTGTGAGCTCCGCCCTGTCATCTGGCTGCTAGCACAGCCCCTAGGAACCTTGCTCCCTGTCGTGTCACTGTCATCTGCTTGTCTCTGGGATCTTCATCATCTGTTGGTTGAGATGTCCACATCCCCTTCCCATCTTATTCTCTGCTGTCTTCAGTGGCTTCAGAATCCACGCTACTGGCCTCCTCTTATTCCCACTGAGATCGCATTTGCACTGTTTTGTCATTGATAGTGAGATTACTCCCTCAGAGATGCCATGGAGTAGCACAAACAAGAATAGGACGGGGCTAAGAGGAGGACGCCTGAGTCCCTGTCTCCGCTCCATTACTGCCTGGCTGTGTAGCTTAGAGCAAGCACCTTTGCTTCTCTGAATCTCTTCTCTGTTGAGGGCTGAAAATACTGCAACTTGTTCTTTAAACTGTTTGTAGGACAAAATAAAATAACGTATGTGCTAATGCACTTTATAGACTGAAAAGCGATGTCAGCCACCCAGCAGGGTGACACCTGTGTCATTAACTGTCTGAAGCTCACTCAGCCCCCTCTGGTTTCCTGCTGGCCTCCTTGCTTTGGGTCTTCGTGAGCTTTTTCTTTCTTTCTTTTTTTTTTTTTTTTTTTTTTGAGACAGAGTGTCGCTCTGTCACCCATGTTGGAGTGCAGTGGCGCAATCTTGGCTCACTGCAACCTCCACCTCCCAGGTGCAAGCGATTCTCCTGCCTCAGCCTCCCGAGTACCTGGGATTACAGGCGTGTGTGACCACTCCCGGCTAATTTTTTGTAATTTTAGTAGAGACAGGATTTCCCTGTGTTAGCCAGCATGGTCTTGATCTCCTGACCTTGTGATTCACCCGTCTCAGCCTCCCAGAGTGCTGCGATTACAGGCATGAGCCACTGTGCCTGGTGTCATGAGGTTTTTCGGTAGAGCAGATATTTCCCGATGCTGGCCATGTCTCAGGCACTGCACTAAGTGCTGGAAGACAGGAATGAGAGTCAGTTTCCAGCAGAAGGGACTCAAACAATTGGGTGTCAAAGACACAGGCACATAGGCCAGAACTGCTCCTGGGTTTTTCACCAGTTCCTTGCAGGCTCTTGCTTCCCTGGCCTTGCCACTGACCCTGGGCACCCCTACCATTTTCTTATCTACTCCTTGTCTGGAAGATACTGCTGGTGAAAGTCTGAGAGCCTTTGCAGAGAGGACCTGCTAGAGAGTGGTGCTGCCTAACCTCAGCTTGCCCTCCTCCTCTGCAGTCACCCCTGAGCCCTCACTCTCCCCACCATGCAGCAGACTCAGGGATGGGAATGCATTGTTACGTCTGGTGAGAAGAGGGGGACATAGGGTCTGTGCTCCCACAGCTGCCCTCCTTCTCATCCAAGGCTGGTTACTTGCTGCCTGCTTGCTTCTTCTCTCCTACCATTCCTGAGGGAGGAAGAGCAGTCTGTCCAAAGCCATTGACTTCACCTGGGCCTGGGTGCTGTCTCCTGAGGATTCTCTGGGACCCATCTAGATCTCTATTCTCTTGGGTACCATTAAACACCCCTTTCTGCTGCCTCTCTCCTCTCCTGCACATGTGCTTAGGTGCCCCATTCCTCAGATTTGACCTTTCCTTCAACTCCCTGTGCTTGAGCTTCTGAGCCAATGCTCTTGGTTTCTTCTCACTGCCATATATCTTCAAGGAAAGGACCAAACGGACCCTGTTTACTATCCGGTAGTGTTTGTTGTTCAAATGAAAGCTTGAGGGACTGGGCAGAGGCAGACACTGACGCTCAGAGAGGAGGAAGGAGACGAGGGGAACTAGAGGGGAGGAGAAGGAAAAAAACACACACCCGAGGAAGGTGGAAGGGAGAGAGGGAGCAAGAAAAAGCAGAAGGTAGAAAGGAGACACACATGCCCTGACACAGAGTCCTGGAGTGACATCCAGCCCCCTTAGCATGTTGAACCTGCTGCCATCCCCTCTCCCCCCAGACACACAGTACGCTCACAGGAATAGACCCCGACGCAGACACACTTGCCTTCATAGACATAGGTCCCTTCCCCACAGACATGTCTCAGGGTCTTCCACAGGGAGAGACACCCCCAACCCTGCCCCCACCACAATACACATCATAGGCTAGATGTGTACTCTAAAAGGTAGCCTCAGGTCGAATGCAGTAGCTTATGCCTGTAATCTCAGCACTTTGGGAGGCCAAGGCAGGAGGATCACTTGAGCCTAGGAGTTTGAGACCAGCCTGGGCAAATCATGAGATTCCCATCTACACAGAAAATTAAAAAAAAAAAAAAATAGCTAGCCATAGTGGCACACAACTGTAGTCCCAGCTACGCAGGTGGTTGAGGTGGGAGGATCGCTTGATCCCAGGAGGTAGAGGCTACATGAGCCGCAATCGAGCCACTGCCCTCCGGTCTGGGTGACAGAGTGAGACCCTGTCTCACAGTTCCCCCTGGAAGAGATTCACCAGTGGGTTTTCATGCTGTGCTTCAGGGAGGAATACCCAGGGATTGGTAGAGCTGGGAGGATCAATATAGTTTGTCTGCCAAGTAGTAGTACAATTTTATTTTTTAATATTTATTTTATTTTATTTTATTTTTTGAGACAAGGTCTTGCTTTGTTGCCCAGGCTGGAATGCAGTGGCGCAATCTCGGCTCACTGCAACCTCAGCTCCCCAGGTTCAAGCGATTCTCCTTCCTCAGCCTCCCTAGTAGCTGGAATCACAGGTGTGTACCACCACGCCTGGCTAATTTTTGTATTTTTAGTAGACACAGGGTTTCACCATGTTGGCCAGGCTGGTCTCTAACTCCTGACTTCAGGTGATCTGCCTGCCTCAGCCTCCCAAAGTACTGGGATTACAGGCATGAGCTACTGTGTGTGACCTAACTTTAGCTTTCTATTATTTGAAAAGTTTTGGTTGCTAAATTGTTAGCTAGTTTAAAACAGGCAGTTTACATTCCTGGAACTGTGGAGGGGAAAATGCTCTGTCAGTAACATCAGTGATGAAGATAGCTGCCATTGTTGAACACT